CCAATGTAGTAAGGACATCGTTAAAATAGTCCATGTAACATCAGTGGTTCAACCTTCAGGGTTAGTTCACCCAAAAATGAAAATTAGCCCATGACTTACTCACCCTCAAGGCATCCTAAGTGTATATGACTTTCTTCTTTCAGACGAATCCAATCAGAGTAATATTAAAAAATGTCCTGGCTCTTCCAAGCTTTATAATGGCAGTGGGTGGGTGTTTTCGTTTAGCAGTCCAAAAGAAGTCCAAAAAAAAGCATAATAAAACATGTCTCACATCGCTCCGGGGGGTGAATAAAGGTCTCCTGTAGCGAATCGATGCATTTTTTTGTAAGAAAAATATCCATATTTAAAACGTTATAAACCATTTTCACTATCTTGCGTTAACTGTCGTATGCAGAAGCTGTTCTGGGCGTATGACGTAGGACGTATGTGTAGCGCATGCACCAGTGAGAATATGCTAGTCTCGCAAGAACCAACGTTTGTTTACAGGAGCAAAGGAAGCAAATTTTCCTTACTTTTGCAAAGGAAAACCAGTCTCCTCTTGGCTTATATATCGAAATTGTCGATTGTTTTTCTTTACAAATCCTCATTTTGTACTTCTAATTCGAGACCGATGTTTTGTTTTGCTCTCTGTATATATATACAGTGGGTACGGAAAGTATTCAGACCCCCTTCAATTTTTCACTCTTTGTTATCGCTTCCACATACGTCCTACGTCATCCGCCAGAAAGGCACTCTCTCGTGAATGCGTGTACGACAGTTAGCGGAAGTTACAGATTATTGTTTAATTGTTTTAAATATGGATATTTTTCTTATGCATTGTGGTACTCTCGTGAATGCACGTTGAAGACTGACACGGAAGAGAAGAAATGATTGCATAAAGTCATTATTTATATCATACGGTAAAGTCATTATTAATACAAAAAGTATTATCATAGCTTCATAACATTAAGGTTGAACCACTGATGTCACATGGACTTTTTTAACGAAGTCCTTACTACCTTTCTGGGCCTTGAACGTTGTAGTTGTGTTGCTGTCTATGCTTTCAGCACATCAGTCATGGTTGTCAGGAAAGTGAAAAAACAAATACACAGTTTGACCAATTCATACAGTACGTCATCAATAGCTGTTCACGTTCGTGATTTAGTAATACTGCATTTACACCAGAAAATGTACCAGAGTTTGCATGAATCATACCCCAGACCACTCTTTTTAGACTTGTGTACGGTTCACAGGTGCGCACCCGAGTTCAGAAAACAATGTTCACATTATCCAAACGAACTGAACTCTCACATTAAACAAACCCGGGTGTGCACCAACAGTGCTAGTGTGAAAGCATCAACATCCTCTCATCCCTTATCCATCTCTTGTGTCTCCAATGGATTAAAAAACATTAACATTTGGGAGCTACTGTCATGAACTGATGTGAGCTAGCAAGTTTTTGCTCAGTTTCGAATTAGCACATCAGCCAAAAGACCAGAGTTTAAAGGAAAGAAAAAACACAGAATAACACATCCTAGCTTAGTTATTGCTATAGGCACTTATCTACCTGCGTGGTCACAGCAATAAAAGACAGCAGGCAGTTCTGACAGCTCAGGGGCCGGTGTCAAATAATCTTTGATGTTGCATGTTCCTCTCCAAGAGAACAAAGAGCGTTTGATATAGTGTGTATATATATATATATATATATATATATATATATATATATATACACACACATGTATGCTCAGCTTGATAATATTTCATTGGCTTGACATTGCTTTCTAATTATATATACACTTAATCAAGAACACTCTCTACAGAACACTGTGTTCTGCTGCAGAGGATGAAGGTTTGAGAAGAATGTGTTCATTCAATATTCAGAGGGAAAGTAGTCAGCTTTCTGATTAGGTGAGATTAAAGCATAAAACTTTTAGATGGTTGAACACCCCCCCCCCACACGTGAATTTTAAGAATAGACGCTCCGGACATATTCTACAGCTTCTACCCCCTTCCTGTTACCCTTCTGGCTTGCAGAACAGAGGTCTTCATAACCAGGTGGTAGACAAAATATCCATGCAGGTCAGTACTGCAGATGCCAACATTGAGGATGCTTGATCCAAGCCTTGAGGGCTTGACAGCACACCTTCTGAAATCTGGCACAAACATCAGAGCTGAAACCTGGTTACCACCACATGCTTTTGTCTCTGCCGACCACACAAGGACCAGCCTGGACACCAAAACCTCTCAAGACTTTTATTGATGTACAATAAAAACACTGATAACTGGGTCAATGACAAGTACGTCTACGATAAAGAAAAGGAAGAAAAAAAGGTTGTAGGAAGTTCTCAGAAATGCATTCTTTGCATTCATGTTGGTTTTGAAAAACATTTATATATTTAATAATAAATAATAAAATATTTTTTCTTTCACCTTGAAGATGTGTTTATTTTTTAATAAAATTGAATGTAATGTTGTTGACTCAACTATGAAAAATCTCATTATAAAAATATAAAATAAAAAAAAATAAAAAATCAAAAGCTCATTATAAAAAACCTGACAAACAGACAAAAACTATGTTAACATGACATTTTGAAATCATCCACTTTTTCTCTGGTATTGATGTCAAAATGATACAGCAGATAATCATTTGTGCATAGAATAAGCTGTCAAACCACTGGTAAATGTGATAGGAATTGTTATAATGAGTAAAAATATATCTAGATTTAGGTGTTTAGGTGTCAATCTTACACATTGTTGGCTTATTATTATTATTATTATTATTATTTAATTAAATGACTTCACAGTTTGTACTTTGTAGATGTAACATAGAAATTAAAGTTTTGTGGTTTAACATACGTTTTGCTTGGAATCTCATAAGCTGTCTTAAAGAAAGAAATATAGGAGTCCTGATGCCTTGATAATATGATAGTCTGAAGATTCTGAAACCAAAGCAAGTTGTGATTTTTTTATTACTAAAATGAAAAATGATCAAAAGCTCACTCGGGAGAATCTGCCAGAGAATAATAATTGAATTCTGAGGCGTTCCTTCTAAAGATTACAGCAGTTCCCATTAAAGACCTGAATATAAATTTCTATAATCAGCTCCATTCCTTTTACAGACAGACACTGTTCCTCTAATCATTCAAATTCTTCTTACATTTTTAGTTTAAGAATTTAGTTTAATTTAGCATAAAAAGTATACAATCATATTAATAAACATTATGCAAAAAATATTTAGTGATACCAACAAGAAACTAGGATTTCAATGCAGTGTTTACTTGGCAGTTGACTCTGGCTTCACATTTCATTTCAGGCATACTCCACTACACATATATCAATAACTGACACTTTCACTATTTGTCTGACAGACTGAAAATCTTTCATACTGTGAAGTAAATATTTTGTGACATTTTGATTGCAGAAAGTTCTGCCTGGGATTCTGAAACTCAATTCACATTACGTTCAAAGGCACAGTAATTAACAGACTGCTGCTTTATTACAAGCAATCGAAAGATCCTCCAAACATAATCTGTTGGTAAATAGAATATGCTGTTTTCCACAATTGGAAAGTAAACAAGAAACTCTATAGGGAGTAGGAATGGTTGTCTTAATTGCTTTCTGGTGTAGGCAAGTGAGGGTGCGAGTGAAATAAATACAGATTTAGTTGTTCAGCCTCTCAGTGTGAATTTCACGTAACGCAGCTGTCATGCAGTAAGAGGCCACTTACTTCCTCATTTAGTAATGTGTCTGTCTGCTCTGCTAATCAGTGTTGAAGACGTATATAATGCAGATGACATTTGTGAGGAATTAAAGGTGGGGTATGTATTTTAAAAAAAATGCTTAAACATTTTTTGTACCAAAACAAACTTGTAGCCAATCAGCAGTAAGGGTCGTGTCTACTTATGATGCAGAGGAGAGAGCGCTCAGTGCACAGGACGGACATTAGCCGAGCCGAGCAACGACAGAAAGAAAGAGATGGCGGATAAAAAACAAAAGAGGGAAACGTCTGCGTAACAAAAGAAGGCTTACGATAAGGCAAGAAGTAGGACCCGTGTAAATATCGGATCAGCTTTCCAGCGCTGGAGAGAAATCAAGCAGCGGAAGGGTTGCGATCGGACGCGAGGTTGCTTTGTTTCTTCTCGATAGGTGAGTAAAACACCGTGTCTACACTGGACACGCCGCGCCGCAACAGCTAAAGTCTGTCTACACTGGATGCGACAAAGTGACTGTTGAAAATCATTTGAAATTTGTGTCAATACGTCATAAATAGAACGCAGCAGCAGTTTTCTGTCGGGGATTTGTCGTGTTGCGCCGAGCCGCGCCGCATCCAGTGTAGACAGCATCACTGATTATAATGAAATATCAACATTGGCTACCAGAAATCACTTACCCCACCTTTAAGTAGGTAGAAACTTAAGAATGAGCAATATTTGGTGTTAGCAGCCAACATTGATATTTGCCATATTACTGTAATATCGACTCTAAAATGTTACAGATTTCTCTTTGCTGTTGAATTTTGATTGGTTTGTTAAGGCAACAGTTTGCATACCTTTTGTTTCATTAATTTACTTAATTACACTATCATTCAAAGGTTTGGGTTGGTAAGATTTCTTAAATGTTTTTGAAAGTCTCTAATGCTAACCCAAACATTTATTTGATCAAAAATACAGTAAATGTAATATTGTAAAATATTATTACAAATGAAAACAACTGTTTTTATTTTAAGATATTTTAAAATGTATATTGTGTGTGTGATGTCAAAGCTGAATTTGAGCAGCTGTTACTCCAGTCTTCAGTGTCACACGATCCTTCACAAATCATTGTAAAATTGTAGTTCAGTGCTCAGGAAAAATATATTATTACTAACACAGTTAAAAATGGTGGAGCAGTTTAATATTTTTCTGTGGAAACCATGGCACATTTATTTCAGCATTCTTTAATGAACAGAAAGAACAGAACAGCACTTATTAAAAAATACAGCATTTATTGAGTGTTTTTTTTTGTTGCCATGTAAAAGTCTTTACTATAACTTTTGATAAATTCAATTAATACTTGCTGAATAAAAGCACTTATTTAAATAAACAAAATCTTACTGACCCCAAACTTTTGAATGGTAGTATAAAAGCACAAATTCAATTAATCTACTATACTTGTTTTTGGTTCTTAAAATCAAATTATATTGTAAATGAAAAGATGTTGAAACTGTATATAATAGTACAGTGTAGTGGAGCATAGTACAGTGCAGAAGCAGAATTGTTGAGGAAGTATGGGAAGGTCAGTATCTGCGGTACCTGCTGTGTTGGAGGTTACTGGGCGGGCAGCTCCATCACACTTGGTCTCGCAGAGGAAATCATCGATGGAAGGGCTCAGCAAGGGACGGCTCTCTTGTTGCTCACTCACCAGCTGAAAAAATCAAGCGGAAGAGTGTGATGAGATCTACATTAATGCACTTGGCCTCCTGTTCTCCTATTGTTTTAGTTGCAGCCAGCCTCCATTGCACCATGACATCTCTGCATGTGACTGGTAACATGGTAGTCACCACCCTTTCAGCTGCTGCCTATTTACAGATGAGACAACAATTCTCACCTTGCCCCCCTCTTGCAAACGTCCCTAGCCTGAGGATGTTTCTCCCTCCCTTTCTCACTTAAACAGAGGGAAAGCAGCCCAGTAAAATCACAAATACTATGTGTCATGCTTGTTTTTCCATTTCAGAGAACATAATTATGTCTGAAAGTAATTATGACAAGGTGTGAGTCTGTCTTTATAAAGCCCCTCATTGGTGTACTATGTGTACTATGTGACAGAATGTGTGTATGTTCTCTTGAGAGACTGGCTTAGAGGTGGCCCTGTGTCTAACAGAATGGAAAAAAACACATCAATCATCATCTGGTTGTTCTCATAGTGTTCGTTCAGCCATGCCACAGTCTCATCGGAGGAGAGCACTTTTGTGGGCAGTGCATGGCTACAGCAAATCTGCATTTCCAGCCATATACGTCTCTTGAAAATGTAATCCTTTAGTGAAAAAATTAAAGGGATGCTTGATGCTTAATCTGTCTTCTCAATGTGGATAAATTCATTAATTTCTTACTACATATCACACATACTAAAATAAAGGCTAGTCCATACAAGAGTGGCATTAGAATCTTTTGGATTGAGTTCTAGTAAAATTTTCATCTACTGTTGTAAAATGTTATTGTCTAAAGAGGGACCATGTAGTGACCTGAGAAACAGGCTAATCAATTAACTGGATTTGATAATCTCCATTGTTTACATCATTTAAGACATGAAAACTGATCACACCAGCTGAGGCAAACATTTTTAACTGTATATATCTTCAACCTCTTGAACTCCTTCTCCCTTCTCTCTCTTTTTTCAGATTCGCTTATGTGACTGGAAGCTACCAAGCTAATGTGTGAATAAGTATGTACTTAGAATTGATGTATGTGAATATATGTGAATATATTATTTTGCTCAGTACTAATTTGATACCTTGGTTTCTGTCTGTAAGGTTGTTTTTAAAAGTCGTATGGTTATGGTCATATCCACCAGTAACAACATGCTAGGGGTAAATGTGATGTTTGTATTGAGTGCTTTGAAGGTCAAAAGTCACTAAACATGCTGTGAACTAATGTAGCGGGATAGATACAGAGTTAATGAGTAGGCACTATTTGACGTTTGCTAATAAGCTTGCAAAGGTATACTACCATTCGAAAGCTTGGGGCCAGTAAAATTGTCAAAAATACAGTAAAAACAGTATTACTGTGACGTATTATTAGATTTTGAAATAACTGTTTTTATTTTAATATATTTTAAAATGTCATTTATTTCTTTCATGTCAAAGCTGAATTTTCAGTTATTACACTAGTTGTCAGTATTACATTATCCTTCAGAAATCAGAATTGCTAATTTGCAATAGCATTTTAGCTATTTTTTAATTACTTATTATTGTTGAAAACGTTTTTTCTGCTTATAATTTTTGTGGAAACAGTGATGCATTTTTTCAGGATTTTTCGATGAATAGAAATGTCAAAATAACAGCATTCATTTTAACATTATAAATGTTTATGCCATCACTGTTCTTTAAATGCATCCTTGCTGAATAAAATAATTCATTTTACTGACCCAAACTTTTGAACAGTATTGTATATGTAGCTTGCAGTTAAGAATTAGGTTGTAGATATGAAATTGAACTGATGAAAGTGTCTGTAACACAAATGTACTCAAGAAAATATAAATATACTGCTCTGAAAGTCACCTGAATTTAATACTTTGAAGCTGATTTTGCAAACAAATTCCCCTGGGTGAGAATCCCCTCTGTGACCCAGTAAGGATGAAAGGCTAGAACACCCCTGGTTTGCATGTTGCTGACATTTGTTTCCTCCAAATAGTACAAAGATACTTATTACAGGGCTGTGTCATCAGAACGCTGCTGGTTGTAAAACAGCACACATGTAATTTAATGTCACATTCACATATCCTATATACGGGCTTAACAACAACAGACACTTCAAGCAACGCTGCTTAAATTAATGGACTGTTGCATGTTTATCATTCAAAGTAAATTGATTAAAAAACTCTGACCTTATCAAGACTAGCTTAATTGAGGGCTGCTGCATTTCCCTTCTTTTTAATTTGTCCGGGGCTTAAATAAGACCACAGAGACAAACGTCCAGCAGGAATTAATTTAGAGATGGACATAGAAAAAAAATTAATGAATGATAATGAAAAATTGGATTATACTTCTTTAAGCAAAAACTAGCTGTGCTTGACTATTTTCTGGTGTCTATATTCTACCTTCAAACTGTACGAAGGTTTGTGATCTACTCGTACAGTAGCTTGACAGAAGCTTTGCAATATTGAATATTCATGAATAACACGAGCAGTGTATGTTGGCCAGAGCACTTGGGAGAACATTCCTGTTGTGAGAGTCTGTGCCAGAACGCTGACCCAGCAGTCTTAATTGGGTTGCACAGACATCTCTGGCTCTGCTGGTGTCAGGGAGGAGATTTATTCCTTTGCTGGCTGGAATGTCTGATCTTACCCAAGCTGAACTCCTGTTGTTACAACACCTTGTACATTTTTGATGGAAGTCAAGAAATGATGGTACTCTGTCTTCAAACTGTTGTCTTTGCCTAGCATCTTTCTTTTGCATTTGATAGAATATGCAGAAATATAGTCTTATTTAACAGCAGATTTGCTGATCAGCAATCATTTGAAGTGTCAGGCTGGATGATGTAACAGCATCTTCCGTCCGGATGTTTTATAATATGGGTGAGCTGGATTTGGGGCTCACTTTTAATTTGCCCCTCTAAGTCTTGTTATAAAAGCATAACTTCCTCCCTTGTAAATGCCAGCAGAACAAGGGCCATAATGAGAGGGGGAGACTTATTTTGGAAATATTTTGGGCTCTACGGTTTAATTAGATTCCCCTGTATTCAGTTAAAAAACTGTTTTCCACTTTAGGCACAAATGGGTTGCTGACATTAATAGGAATTATGTAGGGGACAAAACTCATTGTTGTAATTAGAGCAGATAACTGCAGTCATGTTGCAGAACAGTTAGACTTTTTATTAACTCTGATTATTTCAATGGAAGACAGGTTGACAGAGGATTTACCTGGCTGTTCTGTCTGAGGGAAAATTTGGTTTGTTTTCAGTTAATGGTGCATTTAGTAGTTTGGTGCTAATTGAAAAAAGTTTTATACATTAGGAAATAAATTGTTTCTGTGCAAAGTTATCTGAATAGCATACACTCACATGAGATGAAGACTGTACTCATTAAAGTTTTATATAAAAATAGTTTTAATTATGTATGAACGTAATTGCTTGCCATGACGTGACAACTAAGCGTCGGAGAGAATCCATGCGCTCATTGGCTGCCGCCTCTGAAGATACGCTAGTAACATAGTGTAGTTTGTTCATTCGAAAAGCGAAAATTAGACAGTTATCATTTCATATTATTGTGCATAACAAGTTTAACTGTACTGATTGTATGACCTGTAGATGCAACAAAAGTATGAAGCCAGAAGACAGAAAGACCAACAAAAACAAAAATGAGAGCAAACATCGCTATAGCAGAAACAAGATGGAAAGATTTGATGCTGAAGAAAATCCTAAATAGTGATGCCCAAATTGCTTATTTTTGTTGGAAATTAATTATTGTTTAAACTGCCCTCTAAAACTTACTACTATCCGTGTAATTTAATGTAAAACTTACAATAGATGGCTGAGCAGAAGCTAACGCTAGCTAAAGAACTAATTGCACTTTTAAGTATGTTTTCACACACTTATTTTATTTAATCTTATTACAGATTCTTATTACAGATATTCGAAAATACTCTTTATAGGTATCCTAAACTTTGCAATCTGTTAATAAATAATAATTCACTAATTCACTAACTAATTTCTGCACATGCGCACAGCATCGGTCATTGCCAGGGGCGCTGCGATGGTTTGTGGGCCCCCTGAACAGCATATTTACTCGGGCCCCTCCTCGGTAAAAATCGGGTGGGGGTGGTTGGGGTCCCCTCGGTAGAAATCGTGTTCCGGTGGGTTGTGTACAAAAAAACCCGCGGTCCGGGGGTGGGGGATTGTCCCCCTCATTTGAAATCACGTTCACCCCTCGGGGGGCCCCCCCTAACGTCGAGCCCTTGGAATCGTCCTAAACTCCCCCTGCCCCCTTACAGCGGCCCTGGTCATTGCATTCAGAATAAAGCAGAGAAAGCCACTAAAGGCAGTAATTAGCATTTTACCTTGTTGAAATATCTAAAAATGTGCTGTACTTTTTTTCTGAATTATTATAGTAGGTTGCATGTAAACATAAGTGCAGGTAGATTTGCCAACTGACCGTTCGCAAAGAGCTTGACTGACAGGCGATCTGACCAATCAGAATGCGAATGTTATCTGCTGCTGTTGCTATCCGCCATCTTGCCCGACAGCTACAGCCTGTCGCCATAGAAATCCATGTTAAAACGGGGTAAAAAAGATCTACTGGATTGAAACTTTTTCAATATAACTAAATATAAAAATGTGCGGAGGGTTAAGCTATGCTGTTGTTGGCTGCCACAGTAACGGTAATAAGCTAAGGAATACTTGTTTTGCGTACCAGAAAATCTGTCATGTCTGGCGCTATATGCATGGCTTGCAGCGCTTAAGTTAAAATACTGAGTGTGAAATAATAAAATAATATGTTAAAACGTGTGCTCTTATCATTCTGTGGACAAAATCCCGTGACTTTGCCCAGATCGGGAGCTGTATATTCACATGTGCACTCATCTGTTTTCAATGCAGCTAAACTCATGTCATCTTCCCACTCATCAAACTATGACAGGTCCTTAACTGCAAAAATACAGTCACTGTGACACTCTAAAGTGATGAAACTATGGTGCCATGTGCTTTTTTAAA